ATGTTGATCTTTTCCTAAGGTGTTAGCCTCTTCAAGGATAACCTGCTCTGATACCAATTGATGTTCTAAACATCAATGCCACACAAGAGGGGGGTAATTTGTATGGTACCCAATTTTTGCTTAAACTGCTTCTAGAAGGACCTGGTTCTTCTAGGTGAACTAACGACTGCTGTTTCGGAATTAAAAGTACATAGAATAAAGAACTCAGAGATTTTTACGTGGAAAACACCTAGCTCAAAAGGTGAAAAAACCACGACCTACTACTCAGTAGGATTTTCCCAAACTTCCACTAAAATCACTGAGCCAAAACTGCATTTACAAAACTCTTTGTAAACCTAAGGATTAACTCTAATCCCGTTGTGGCAACCAGCCTCTAACTGCTGCGACAACTTCAAGTTACCTCTAACTTGAATACTCAAAGTACCTAATGCAATTGCTTCTATGAAAGCTGAAAGGTACAATATTAAAACACCTACTACAATTGAACTAGAAATAAAGAAAGACACATAAAACTCTTTATGGTGCTGGTTCTTCAATCTCGTTCATGTAGCTTCTGGTTTGCACACTTGAATCACACACGAACTGCTTGCAAAAAGCCTTGCTATTTTGCTCCCAATTCACATTTAACTTCTGCGTTTTTGTGCAACAAATTTAATATGAGAACATCCTGCAATTTATAGAGTTAGTAGATGAAGAAATAACTAGAGTTCTGATGCAACTCTTCCTTGGTGGAAGAGTTCTAGTTGATTTCAACTTCTAACTCCTTCCCTATCTTGGATAGTGTTCTCTTTGATTAAGCACTCCTTCTCCTTATCAATTATGCAACCTTTTCGATCAGGAGATATTAAATACACCAAGTTAAGCTTATCTCCTTCACGTGCATCCCACATGCTTGAATCTACCCGTTTTTGTGACCCTGAGGGATGGACCACTGGATGGACCTGGTTCATGTCTGAGTTCCTTTGTCTGTCTTCAAAACAAACCTTTACTTGGGCCAACAGATGTCTTTTTGAGATGGCTAATTATGTAAAAGTGACTATGTACTTGCAAAGTGGCTAGTTAGTTAATTTGTTAGGAGGCTATTTTTGTTATTCATTTTAGTTAGTGAACTTTGTATATATTGATGTTACAGATGTAAGTAAAGTCGGTTGGCCCATTCTAGATTCTTCCTTCTTCTTTCTCTTCGTCATGCAAACTCAGTCACCCTTCGATCTCCATTGTTGCTCACCTAGAGCTTGTGTAAGGTGAGGACCTATGTTTACATGGCATCAGAGCCCGGCCATCCCATTACGATCATCTCTTCTATTTTGTTATTCTCTTCAGTTCATCGTCTCTTCGATTTATCCCTAATTTTGCTCGCTTTCTAAGGTCAGTTCCATCTGCCCTAATTCGAGTGCCTAAACAAAGGCTTCTTCCTCCAATTGTGATATACTAGCATAACTAGTTTCAATTACTCATGGTTGTGGACGATTTGAGCGACAGAGATGCTACATCAGTGAATGTAGGAACTCAAGGAAATTCCGGAATCGATCCAAGCAATCCTTTGTATCTACACCCGTCGGATAATCCTGGTGCTATGCTTGTGTCAACTCCTTTAAGTGAGTTGGTTATCGATCATGGAGGCGTAGTGTATCGCGAGGAATGTCTGTAAAAAATAATCTAGGGTTCATAAATGGTGAATGTAAGCGTTCAGATCCCCACTCGCCCACATTCTGTCAGTGGGAGCGATGTGATGATATGGTGACCTCCTGGATCCTCAATTCTCTCTCAAAGGACATTGCAGACAGTGTTGAATATGTGAATGATGTTGTGGAGTTATGAATGGAGTTAGAGGATCGATCTGACCACACAAATAGAGCTATGTTGTATCAAATTCAGAAGGAAATAAATGATACATCTCAGGGGACCCTTGATATCACCAGCTACTACACTAAATTGAAAAAGCATTGGGAGGAATTGAGCACTTTGAGTAAAAGGTCCCAGTGCAGCTGTAATTGTACTTGCGGTGCCAAGGAAAACTTTTACAAGGTTGAACAAGATAGGCGGCTAATACAGTTCCTCATGGGTTTGAATGAGACATATACTGTCATTCAAGGAATCATTCTGATGATGAATCCATTGCCAACATTGGCTCAAGCTTTTTCTTTGCTAATACAAGACGAAAAACAGAGAGAAATCAAACCAAACACTCAATTGTTCATTGAGTCCACATCACTGAATGCCACCAACTCTAGGTCTAATACCTACAGCACCAATTACTCACCCAACAATGGCAATTACAGTGGTTATGGAAGGGGAAGACCCATGTGTGACACTGCAAAAAGCCCGATCATACTAAAGACAAGTGTTATAAATTACACGGCTATCCTGACAGTTTTGGGCATTCACGCAATCAAAATCACAATCCTAATCAAAGTTTCAATCAAGGTCAAGGTTTTAATCGAAGTCAGAGTTTCAACAGAGGAAGAAAGGGTGGTGGCCGGTGTTCACTATGACACACCTTGCAACAAGGCAGAGGAAGCCACTGATTTGAATGAAGACCAAAACATCAGCCTATCTAAAGAGCAATATGGACAAATAATGAGCCTGTTGCAACACTTCGAAGCTGGGAATGAAGGAGAACATATGAATGCTGGCAATTCCAGCAATGGAGATGTGAAATTTGTAGGTATAGTAGTTTGCACCTCTTCTATTAATTTTGGTAAACTATCCTGTGAGTGTTTCAAAAACAAGACTGAATCTTGGATATTAGACTTAGGAGCTTCAAATCACATGACCTTTAATAAATCCCTTCTTACCAATATTGTGACATTACCTTACCCACTTCTAGTTGTCCTCCCAAATTGGTAGTGCGACACTTGTGTCTGATATCACTTTACATAAAGTAATGTTTATACCCTCTTTTAAATATAATCCGATTTCCATTCACTGTCTAGCTAGTTTAAACCCAAAAGTATAATAGCTTTCACTGATCACCTTTGCATTCTGCAGGCCCCTTCAATGAAGAGGCATCTGGAGATTGGTAAGGCTTGTAATGGTGTGTACTTTCTTTGTCCAAAGTGTGTGTGGCACAGGTATACAGGTTCTTTAGTCATCAATTCAACTTCTTGCCTTAATGATAGGATTCACTTTACACATAATTCACCCTATCATGGTCATTCATTTGTACATAGTTCAATCTCCACAAATAAGTGTGTATCTTTCCCCCTTGTAAATAGTTCAAGTTCAAGTAATAAAAATCAGAGTTCTGTTTTAAATTCTTGTGCATCCACTGGTTATGATATGAACATTTTGTGGCACAATAGACTAGGGCATGTACCCTTTATTAAAATGAGAGGGATCTCGTCTATTCCTGTTTCCTTCCCATCCAAACAACCTTTCCAGTGTTCCATTTGTCCAATGGTTAGACAAGGGAGACTACCATTCCCCCATAAGACCAACTTCACAACTGAAATCTTTCAATTACTCCACATAGACATATGGGGACCTTATCCTATAACAATACATGACATTACCAATATTTTCTTACAATGGTAGATGACTATAGTAGGTGCACCTGGACCAACCTTCTAACCTGCAAAAGCAATACCCTACAAGTTATAAAAATATTTGTTTCCATGGTTGAGACTCAATTTAACATCAAAATCAAAACTATCAGATCTGACAATGGTTTAGAATTTACTAGTACAGAAGCAAACATATTCTTCCAATCCAAAGGCATCATCCATCAAAGGAGTTGCCCCTACACACCACAACAGAATGGCATAGTAGAAAGAAAACATAAATACCTCCTAGAAATTGCTAGAACCCTTTTATTCCAATCAAAGTTGCTTGTGAAGTACTAGGGTGAATGTATTCCGTGTGCAACTTACATTATAAATAGACTACCTTCCTCTCATAGTAACCCGAAATCCCCATTTGAACTACTTTACAAAAGAAAACCAACATACTCTCACATGAAAAGTTTTTGATGCATGTGTTATCCCTCTGTGCCAAAGGTGCATAGGGATAAATTTGAACCCAGAACATCATCACACATATTCAATGGTTATCCTTAAGGAGTAAAAGGGTACACGGTCCTAAGTCTTGCCACTAAAAAGATATATATCTCCAGGGATGTTGTCTTTATTGAAAGTGTATTTTCATTCACTATATCATCTGAAACCACACTTTTCCCCCTGTCTTTAATAATCATGCTCCTTTCATTGATTGTACTCCTAAGAATGATAAACATCTCTATGATAGTGATGATGGCACAAGTATTTCACACAATCAGCCTTTAGAACATAATATTCCTTTAACACCTGTGAGACCCTCCATGTCAACTGAACCTTCCACCTCCTCACCACAATCTGACACACCACAGCTTTCAAACTACAACACATCACCTGTTGGGGATCAGCCAGGACCCACAACATCCATTACCTTAAGGAAGTCACAAAGACCTCTCAAAACACCACTATACTTACAAGATTATCTACACTCACTTTCAAAATTGAAATCATCAACCCCTGCTGATCACTATAATTCAACTACACCATTCTCTCTTAATGCTGCATTTACTAAAAGTCATCATGTTTCCCCTGATACTCTGAATCTTGAAAGCCAAAGTCTTGTAAGAGACATTTGTAGTAATGGTGAGCCTTCATCATATGACGAGGAAGCTATGAATCCTGCCTAGCAAACAGCTATGAACCAAGAGTTTGAAGCATTACATGCCAACCACACTTGGGACCTAGTTCCCCTGCCTGCTGGGAAGAATACTATAGGATGTAAATGAGTGTATAAGATAAAACACAAAGTAGATAGGAGTGTAGAAAGACTCAAAGCTAGGCTAGTTGTGAAAGGATATACCCAACAAGCACGCATTGACTATACAGAGACATTCTCCTCTGTAGTCAAGATGACAACTGTGAGTTCTCTGCTAGTTGTTGCTGTGAAGAAAGGGTGGCACATGTCCCAATTGGATGTGAATAATGCCTTCCTACATGGTGACCTAAATGAAGAAGTCTACATGGAAGTTCCTAAATGAAGAAGTCTACATGGAGGTTCCTCAGGGCCTGACTGTAGATAATTCAGAATTGGTTTGCAAGCTAAATAAGTCACTTTATGGGCTGAAACAAGCCAGTAGGCAATGGTATGCTAAGCTCACTGAAGCCTTATGTTCAAGAGGTTATGCACACTCTATGTATGACTACTCTTTATTTTACAAGAAAACAGAAAACTCAACTGTCTATATAGCAGTGTATATAGATGACATTGTGGTGACAGGCACTGACATAAAGGAGATTGAAGACTTGAAAGCTTTTCTGAATGACAACTTCAAGATAAAAGATCTAGCCAGGTTGCACTATTTTCTGGGACTAGAAGTTCTTTACAAAGTTGATGGTGCGATAATATCTCAGAGGAAGTTCACTCTTAACTTGCTCAAAGAATATCAGTGCATGGATTATAACAGCTTTACTTCACCACTAGATCTAACAGTCAAACTCAGGGCAAAAGAAGGAGAGGTTCTGACTGATCCTACCTACTATAGGAAACTACTAGGGAAGCTTAACTTCCTCACAAATACTAGATTGGATATAGCCTACATTGTACAAAATCTTAGCCAATTCATGGATGACCCCAGACAGCCTCACTTGAAAGCAGCCTTTCATCTACTTAGATATTTGAAGGGGGACCCAACTCTAGGGATATTCATGTCCAAAGATGCAGATTATACTATCAAGGCCTACTGTAACTCTGACTGGGCAGCATAACCAAATTCCCGAAAATCTGTGAGTAGGTATCTTGTACTTTTGGGGAGCAGCCCTATTAGCTGGAAATCAAAGAAGCAAGACACCATTTTATTGTCCTTTGCAGAAGCTGAGTATAGAGCTCTAAGAAAGGTGGTGGGGGAATTGGTATGGCTTAGTAGGCTATTTGAGGAGCTTACAGTTCCTTTCCCTAAGTCCATTACAGTGTTCTGTGATAGCCAGTCTGCCATGCACATAGCAAGAAACCCAGTGTTCCATGAAGAACCAAACACATAGAGGTGGATTGTCATTTTGTCATAAGCAAGCTACAAGAAGGACTGATTTCATTACAACATGTAGGAACTACAGACCAGCTTGCAGATGTCTTAACTAAAGCATTAACAGGAGTCAAACATTCACCAACTTTGCACAAGTTGGCAGTGTTTGCTACACCACCAAATTGAGGGGGAGGGGGGGGGTTGAGATGGCTAATTATGTAAATGTGACTATGTACTTATAAAGTGGCTGGTTAGTTAATTTGTTAGGAGGCTATTTTTGTTATTCATTTTAGTTAGTGAACTTTGTATATATTGATGTTACAGATGTAATTAAAGTCGGTTGGCCCATTCTAGATTTTTCCTTCTTCTCTCTCTTCGTCATGCAAATTCTATCTCCCCCCGATCTCCATTGTTGCTCACCTCGAGCATGTGTAAGGTGAACCTATGTTTTACATGTCTTCTTGTCGATTTCAACGCGAAAAGAGAATCGAGTTCTCAATTTTGTATTTTTCTTGTGTTTTATAGTGCTTTTTGTTATGTTATGTTCTAAGATCCCCATTATTTCTTGTTAACCTATTGCTTTTTAATATCCCCTTTCATTTGTCAACCAAATCACAAATTTAAGGTTAAATTATACTATATAATATTTGAATTTAAACTTGACGTAAGTAGTTTATGTGTAATTTTATGCTATATCTCAAATATATTAATTGATGACTATCAATTAAAAATATTTACTTCAACTTAATTTCCTGATCGAACTAATTTGAGGCGAGTAACAATTTTCCTAGTACTCGCTCTCTTCTCCACGCTCCCTTCCTTTTTACACCTTTCTATGAGCCCATTTGGTTTGACTTATTTTATGGGGGTTTCGACATAGTTACCCACAAAAATAAAACTATTTACCCTTGTCTACCCATTTATTTTTCTACCCATAAACTAATTACATTTTCTACCCATAGTAGTTTTTGTGGATAATTTTTTCTTTATTCTCCAATTCTTTTTTATTTCTATGCTTCTTTTCTTCTTTTTTTCTCTTTTTTCTTTTCTCCTTTTCTTTTTTCTCGTTTTCTTCTTATTTTTTTCTTTTTTTCCTTTTTTAATTTCATTTAACTTCTTTTTTTTATATTCTTTTTCTCTTCATAATCTAATTTTCTTTACCGTTTTCACTAATTTTTTATTATTCTTTTTTTATACAATAAGAAAAAATAATTGATATAGTAAATATTTGTTCACCCTTTTTAATATAACTAGTACAATATACCTTTTATTTATTTTTTTTCTCATTTTTTAAATTCAATTATTAAACTGAAATAATATCAGTTGTCACTTGATCTAATTCACTGAATATCACATTGACTGCTGCTAAGCACCATAAATTACATAATCAGATTCTAAGAATCAACACGTGATTGCATTCAAATCTTGATCTCCTTCCCTATAAATATCAGTACACACTCTACCATTAGCACTAACACAATCAGTTATAGAGCAAGAAAACATAATCTACGGCAACCAAATCTCCATATATACTAGTTAGAATAAAAATGATAATAAAATATTAAAAAATGCAACAAAAGTATAAGTAGCAAAAAAGACTTCTAGTACCATGTGATACCAATATGGTATATATATATACCAACAGAGCATATGATTTCTCTAGAATATTGCTACAACTATCTGCGACTATACTACTGTACCAAAACATTAAAGGACGCAATAAAAGTATGAGAAAATTACATGCTCGTATTGCAAGCTAAATATTCGTAAAACAACTTGCTCATTTCGTATACTAAGAGGGTATATAGTTGTATGTGGTCGTTCCAACAATTGCCTATAACTATAAAAACTATTACATAATACACATAATTTATGTCCATCGGCGCACAAAAAATTCCAGCATTGCAACTCATGTTCATATAAATAATTTCATAATACAATTCACTTAAAATGCAGCTAAAACAACCAAAACAATGTTCAAATTACCATATGATACCAATATGGCATATAACTATACCAACATGGTATACAGTTTTACTGGTTAATTACCGACAACTATATGACTATACTACTATTACATAACACACATGCATAAAGAGAAAAATAAAAAAATAGTGTACCACATATTAATATAATAAAGTATTTCAAGATATTGTACTATATTACTATTATTAAAATAAAATCAAATATTGTACTAATAAATGCAGCTAATACAACCAAAAAATGATTCAACTAGCATATGATACTAATATAGTATATAGCTATACTAATGGGGTATATAGTTGCAATGAATTGTATACCAAAATGGTATATTTGTATACTATTTGAGTATAGAATACAAATTCGTCTTCTTCTCTAGTTCAACTATATTTCAACCCAAACTTCTAAAATCTACTACAAAATCTCCACCAAATTATCTAGAACTTTAGCTACAACCTCCAATCAACTTTCCAAACAAACCCATATAGGATCGGATCAAAATAATTAAAAACTCAAACAAACCAAGTTATGAGTTTCAAGCTTCAAGGTCCTTCAATGGTGTATTTGAATTTTTGTACAATAGATCTCCAAAAAACAGTTTGGGTGAAGAGAAAGAATTGTTTTTGTAAGCATTATCTACTTTTCTTTGTTTGAATCAATGAATTGTTTTTATCGAATAAACAAAGAGAGCCCTCTGAGTGTTGTGGTTCGATTTCTTTTTTATATAACAGAGAGTGCTCAAGACTGATGATTTCTTTCCATCAGAAGGCTGCAACTAGGAAGCTTACTGGTGTATACAGAAAGTATAGCATCTCTAAATACGAGATTTGGATTTTTGATTGCTGAAATTGGGATTGCCGTTTTTGCTTCAAATGAAAAAAGAGCAGAGTGGAGTAAGAGTTGGAGAAGCAGTTGAGATGAGGGACAAGCTGCACGTGATTCCAGTTATTACTCCCTCATATTATTGGGAAATAACCGGGTAAATAGTTTGGGCAGCATAGGTAGAAATAGAAAATAGGTTGGGTCTGGGCATTAAAGGGTAAATAGTTTGGAATTAATAGGTATAAAGTGAGATTTTCTCTATTTTAAGTGCTTTTAAGCTAAAATAACTTTTAAGTCATTTCGTAGTATTTGAATAAAGTAAAAAAGTGCTTTTAAGCACTTGTTTTTTTTAAACTAAAATGAAAAAAACAAACCAAAAACTAGAATTTCTAACTTATGGCTTAAATGCTATTTTAGTTTAAAAATCACTTAAAATAAACCCATCCAAACGAGCTCTACGTATGATTCTAATGTCTTTCCTTTTTGAAGCACTTTTAAAATGATGTCTTTTCCCTTCACAGTTCACACAAAAAAGGTAGCTAACTTCACTTTCCCCTGACATCTTACTGTTATACGTGAGTTTAAACCAAAAACAAATTACTACAATATTTTAATTCGATAATATGTCTCTTGATTTTTTTTTTATACTTTATCATGTTTATGAAATCTCAGTTATCTATTATTGCTTTGAAAAAAATGAAAAATGTCCAAATTAGGCCCGATACTATTCAAAATTGGATTTTTTTACCTTTTATAACAAAAGTTGATACCTTATTTATTTTAAATAAATACCCTTTTAAAGAATTATATTCCATAGCTACCTTTTGATTTTTATAGCCAAATATCTATTTATGATTACCTCCTACCCTTAAGCCATAAAATACTCTTTGTGTTATTTTTCTCTCTTATTCTTTCAGATTTTTCTGTACCCACTCTCTCTCAACGCCAGTCTTTCTCCATGAATACAACCACTATTCTCCACAGATTTATCTCCATTGTCTCACAAAATTTTCGTTGTCAGTGGGTTGGGGTTTTGAATCAATGTCGAAATCAAGCCCTAGAGAGAAAGATCCACCTCATTCTGATGGCTGTTGCTTTGCAATGAAAGCTGGACATGACCATTGCAACTCTTGCCTCTCAACACCTCCATTGCTGCTTTTCTTCATCTACCAAATTCGCAATTACTAACAAAAGAAGACAATCTACTATTGAAAATAAGGAATTTCTTTTGTTTTTGCGCCAAATTTTGAGAGTTTCGAGTCAGAATCGCGACCCTCTTGACGAGACGATATTAGGGTTATTCTTGAACAAAGACGACAGAGTTTGGTGCTGAGCAACTTGAAGAGTCTGTTACCTTTTTTTTCATTCTAATTAATGTATCTCGTTGTATTCTATGTATTTCATTGTATTCATTGTCTTTTTCTTTCATTGAATTTCAATGTATCCCGCTGTATTCCATGTATTTCATTGTATTCACTGTCTCGCTCTATTCCATGAATGTATTCATATGTTTTTTTAATTAATATAATTTATGTATTCAGATGTGTATATGTATTCAAATTTATCTGCAGTATGTATTCATATGTTTTTGCACTATAGATGACCTGCTATACTTCATGTATTCAGTGTATTTTTATGTATTTAACTGTATTCAATGTAATTATATAATTTCTCTGAAGATTGCTATGTTTTTGGGGTGTTTTTCGATTGAGAATCTCTTTTATAACTGAAAATATAAATTTTGTGTGTTATAATTGATTTGAGTTATATTAGGAGTCTGTTATGTGAATTGATTCACTTTTCGTTTAAAAACAGCTAAATAGACCATGAGTTGCGCTATTTACGTTACTGTATTCACAAATATATATCGTGAATACAGTCGAATACAACCGAATACAATAATCTGTCTAGCTGTAATCCCCTGTTTCACGCCGTGAATACAGT